AGCACGCCTACAAGAGGAACACCGACGACCTGGACCGCGAGGCCCCGGAGCGACCCACGCCGGGCTCCTGCCGACTTCGCGTGCGCAAGAGCAGAAGAGCAGCCTTTCGCCCTTTCGCGTTTCGAGCGCCAGTTCGTTTTCAACATCGTTGTGGTCGGTCTGTGTGGATTTTCCTCACACGAAATTCGCCTCGCCCTGGCTTCGTCTGACACAACTGGCCTCCGGCGGCCGCTTGGGGCGATCCGGACAATCCCCAAGAACGCTCCTGGCAGGGCGTAGCCGCTGGAAAGCATCCCGAGAGGAACAACAAACCTGAGATCATGCCTAACTTAGCGTACCCTGGAAACGACAGGGCCGTTTTTTAACCGGTTCCGTCTTGCCGTTTTTTGGTTCCGTCGCCGTTATGTTTGCCCGTTCCGTCGCCTTTTCTTTCCGGCCCCGGCTCTGGTTCTAGTTCTGCAGCCGCTCTTTGTTGCCCTTGCCGGTTTTTGCTACCGGTTCCACGTGCAAGAGACTTTCCTGCGGAAACGGTGCGAACAAAAGTGGCCTTGCCGCTCCAAGGGCCCACCACGCCAGGAACAGCCCACGTGGGGCTCCTCATCGATTTCGCAGGACTTCTCAAGCCAAGATTTACATGTACTTTGAAATATTTGGTCAGTTTACATCATATATGTTTTGTATGGGTGCCTCTCTAGATTTCAGAGCCCCGAATCATCAGGGGTAACTCGGGTCAGGGCTAACTCGGGTTCCTTCTTCGGGAATCCAAACCCGAGTTACCCCGGACCCGAGCTACCCCGGATAACTCGGGCGCCCAAATATTGATTTCGCTGCAGACAAAAAAATGTCAGCGAGCGGGCCTCCGGTGCGGGCTCGTCGGGGCACCCAGGCCGCGGAGCACGAGGTCGTACCGTCAGCGGCTGGCACGCTCGGGTGCTGTGGCCACGCCCAGGCAGCCCCCGGTCTCGGCTTGCCAGCCCCAGAGGTCCCGACCCCTCGCCCAAGGGTTCGGGGGCGGATCGACCTCCTGCCCTGACGCGTCGATTCAGGAATTGGGCGTGTTCGGTTCGCGAGAGGGCGTCGCGGCCGTCATTTTTGCGGGTCCAGGTCCGTCGGTTTCGGTCCCAGGCCGTTTTCACTAAGGGGAAGGTCTACTAAAGTTACTAAAGGGAGGTTTGGCCATCGCCGAAGGGTAATATCGTGTCCTGGTCGGTAGCAGGTGATGGGAGCCTCGTGTACCCTCGCAATTCCGTCTCTAGCGTCGACTCGCGTCGATTAGCGTCGAGTCGATGGGACAGCGCCGATGTAGCGTCGGCTAGCGTCGATGAGCGTCGATGTAGCGTCGGTTCGCGTCGATTTAGCGTCGACCAGCGTCGATTCGCAAGAGCCGGCGGCAAGATGGTGCGGGAGGCTCCCATGAGTTGCCACCGAAGCTTGCCAATCCGCGGGCCCAGAGGTCCCGACCCCTCGCCCAGGGGTAATCTCGCGGCCTGGTTTGTTTTTTGACGGCTCCAAGAGCCGAGCACGGCGTCCTAACTTCGGCCAAGTCGAAGGACATATTACCATGCTGAGCAAACAATAAGATCATCGGCTTAGCTGCTCTGACACGCCCGTCTTGAAACGCAGCCCGTGCCGCGTTCACAACGTCCGTGTTCGCACGCTGCGTGCTGGCGCAGCGTGTTGGCCCACGTTTTGGCGAACGTATCGCGCCAGGCGTCAGTGTTCAGCCTGCGTGCCCAGCTCCGTGTCCACACGCTGCGTGCTGCGTGTTGCGTATCGGGGCGGCTGAGATTCAGGAGGGGGAAAAACACACAGACACAATTAATCGTCGATCCCCAGGAAAATATGCGAAAATATGGGAAGTGGGGGGGAAGACAAAAACCAAGAAAATATTGAAAAATATGGGGAATATGTTTATTTGTGTGTATTTATTTGTGTGTCCCAGGGCCCCTTCAGAGATCAGCGGAGATCTGGGAGGGTCGCTCCTGCCCGGGGCCACTCCTGCGCGTGGCCCGCCGCCCAGGACGGCCCCGGGGCTGCCCAGAAGAGCCCCCCCCCCAAAGGACCCCCAGGAAGGCCTGCCAGTGCAGGATTCACGGACTTTCGCAGGGGGGGATAGCAAGATTGTTGCACGTCGCGCCAAAGCCTTGACACCTGCGGGTCATCAGGCCACCTGAGGCAGCGACCTCGCGCCCTCACAAAGTAGACGCGTTTTCCGTCCCGCTGGCAAGCAGGTCCCATGGCCTTCGACCCGTCCCGCCATCGTGCCCGTGTTGCGGGTCAGAGTTCTCAGGGGATGTTTCTTGGGGTCTCTTCGCAACGCCTTCGGCGGCCTGTTGGGGACAGTTTTCTTGGGAGCCTGCTGGGTGCCTCTTGGGTCCCTTGGGGCCTCTTGGGGGCCTCTTGGGGCCCTCCTGGTGGGCCCTCGGGGACGAGGGCTTGAAATATCCTCTCGGGTCCCCCGCCTGGGTCCTCTCTTGGAGCAGTCTTTGGGGCCACTTGGGCCGTCTTGGGCGCCTCTTGGGACGTCTGGGGCCCTCTTGGGCAGTTTCGGTGCCCTCTTGAAGGCCTCTTGGGCCGTCATGGGGCGATCTTGGGGGCCTCGTGGGCTGCTTTGGAGCGTCGGGAAGCAGAAAAGGCCAGAAGGTCAACACTTTTCATGCGCAAATTCGGATGTCAACGTTTTGTGCCTCTTGGGGCCCTCTTCGGATGTCTCTTAGAGGCCTCTTGGGGCGTCTTGGAGGCTTTTTGGGCTGTTTGGGGGCCATCTTTGGCGTCTTGGTGCGATCTTTGGGCGTCTCGGGGCCCTCCAGGGCCGTCTTGGGAGTCTCTTGGGGCTCTTTTGGCCCGTCTTGGGGCTCTCTTGGGCACCAACAAGTGAGGATTGAGGTATGGAGGACTAAAGAAAGTGTTTGAGGGCACGCCCACTCCACGCTGAAAGGCACGGTGCCGGGTAAGCAAACGCAGCGTGCGCGCCGAGCCCGCGCTGGCCAAAGAAACAGACAGTAGCAGCAACGACCGATTGGACAACATGTCGAAGGTGACAGTCGCCACAGCGTCACGCCGAGCCGCCCAGAACAGAACATAAAAGAACACAGTTCAATGTACTACACCGGGGCAGAAGCCAAGCCAACAGTGTATAGCGTTCTCCTCCTCTGCCCTTGCTCCTCCTCCTCTTGCAGCAGGTTTCAGATTCTCGTCGAAGGACTTTGGGGGCCTCGCTCACACCGCGCGGTTGGGTTTTTGGTTTCTCGCCCCAAGCTCTGTTTCGGCTTCCATCGTCGGAGGCTTTCCTCCTGCGAGAACTTGGGGCTCTGGGGCAGCGGCAGCTCGCGACCTGACCAGGACGCCGCGCCTGCCGGAGATTGTCATTAAATCGGGCATGTCCTTCTACAGGAAGAATATTCAGAAATGGTAGAACAAAGTAGTCTGGGGACTCGTTTGAGCATCTTTTTGAATATTTTGGAATCTGTTTGATCGTTTTTCAGTTTTCGTCCAAAATCCGCCTGTAGGAGGACATGCCCGACCTACGAGGATCACTGCTGTCTGCGCCCGCCCCCTCTCCCCCGCTGCTTTCTCAGCACAAGCCCCCCCGACGAGAGGTCGGAAGGAGGGCTCCGCCTTTGGACCAGCCCCACCGTGGTGCCTGAGCGCGCGCACGTTCGGGAACAAACGCCGGAGTTTTTTTTGTTTTGCGGGGATCGCTGGAAGCAACTTCCTTGCTTCCGCCGCAAATCGGGTCCCTTGGGGTCCTTTTCGGCCCTTTTTCTCTCCCCGCCCCCCTCCACAGGGCAGTCAAAGACGAGTCAGTACGGTAGGCTCGCGTCGTGCCGACCGGCGGCGACCCCGACGCCGGCGTTCAACGTTGAACGCAGGCGGCGGCACAGAAGCGGTCGATGTTGCACGATCGAACGTTTCGGAAAGGGCCGATCGTTCGAGGTGGAACGATCCCCGCGGCGTCAGGAACCAATGCCCATATCAAAACGGCATGGGCCTGCCGTATGAAAATAGGGTCTTGCGGGGCAAGCCACAGGGTTTAGGATCCGTCTCCACCAGGACCCCTGTCCCTCGTCCCAAACCTGCCCCGCCCTGAGCCCCGACGTCGCTAACGTTGAGACATCCTGGAAAATCTCGACTGGAGCCCTAGACTCAAGTCGGGCATGTCCCACTACAGGAGGAATATTCACAAGGAGTCCAAAAATAGCCTGGCCACAATTATTCGACTGCTCGTGTTGCTGTTTTCGAATGTTTCTGGCTCTTCGCCCAAAACCCACCTGGAGGAGGACACGCCCGACCTAACGCTAAAGTTGGAACGTCCTGGAGCATCTCGACCAGAGCCCTGTAGACCGTAGTATTTTTGCTTTCGCGGCAGCTCTGGAGCGGGATCGGCCCGTGGACGGGGGCCCGAGATGCGGCGAGAGATTTTCTTTGTGTGAACGGATCTCGGCCACGCGCAGTAGGAGGCAATTAGGGAGAAGAGGGGAGGGCTTCTTAGAAGGAGGCTGCTTCTTCGAAGGCGCGGGCCTCGTCTGTAGATGCAGGGCCCGCGCCTTCTAAGGAGCACCCTCCCCTTCCAAGAGGCCTTCCTCCCCTCCCCCCCACCCGCTCCTCGCGCCGCCAAAGTTCACCCGCATCCAGATTGGGGTTCTCGTTTTCTCTGGGCACCCCCTCTCAGCCATGACCATCACCAGCACCGTCATCCTCCCCATCGCTATCACCACATTCGCCATATTCACATCCTGAGCATCATCAGCAGCATCATCTTCATTTTTGACACACTCACACCTACAATCCTCATCATCATGGCCACCAGACACCTCGCAACAACATTACCACCATTGATTTTCACTCATCAGCAATATCAACAGCAATACCCCCACGCACACTTGCACATTACACCTGAGAAAGCCCCAATCAGTGGATGATTCGAAAATTGATACTATGGATCTTGACATCGATTGTGAGATCGATAATGAGATCGATCCTGGAATCAATAGTGAGAACGATTGTAAGGTCGATCGTGAGACCGATAGTGAAATCGATTCAAAGAGATCGATAGTGAGATCGATCGCGAGATCGCTCATGCGATCTCTAGTGAGATCGCTTGGATAGTGAGATCGATTGTGAGATCGATGGTGAGATCGATCGAGAAGTGGTTAATGAGATCGATGGTGAGACCGATCGATAAGAAGATCCACCAGGAACGCGGGAAGCCGGGAACCTCGCCGCCCTCCGAAATCGGCCCGGAACCCGGAACCGGGAACCGCAGGAACCCGGAACCGGGAACCCGGGAACCCGGGAATCCAGCTTGCCACCAACATCGGCGGGGAACTCTCGCCAAATTCTTCAGTACCGGGGAGACCGGGAACCCGGGAACCCGGGAACCCAGCCTGCCACCAAAGTCGGCGGGGAATTTTCTTCCGCTATAGGACCCCTTCAGTGCAAGCACTGATTGGGGAACTTACGCATTCACGCATTCGCATACTCACACACTCACAAATGGATGCGCTCGTAGTGAGGAGTCGTCTGTGAATCAGTTGCGGGGACGTCTCAAGCGGGAGTCCCTGCCCTGTGCCTCCCCCAGCAGCACGAAGTTACGCCGACGTCGCCACTGGTACACTTGTATGTATGAGTACAAATGCATTTATATATAAGTGTATTTTTATATCGTTTACACGGTTCCCAGACCCCCGACGTAATGATTTTTTCATTACGTCGACCCCCAGAGGTCTGGACCCTTTCCCCATGACCGGCTTTGCATCCTGAGTCGTTTTTCGACGCTCCCGAGGCCCGGCGAGGGCCCCCAGAGGCCGAAAATTAGGAAAAACATCCCGTCATGATTTTTTCATTACCCGAGGGGGTCTGGGTTATGCGATCATCGAGTAGCTTGAACTCCACTTCCAGTGCTAAGGCCGAGTGTCCAGAGCCAACTGTAGGCCACTTCGAGCTCTTCGAGCTCCCAGAACTCCGCTCCCCGGCTTCGTGCTGCCTGTTCGGAGCCAGCTGTCACGGCCGTCGGACTCTTTGTCCCCGCCAGAGCTCCACCCTTAGGGCTGGTTTTGCAATTCCCGAGCCACCCGTAGGTCACACCGGGCACCTCACTGTTGGGAATGGTTTTTGCACGAGCCCTGCAGGCCACTTCGGCTTCTCTGTGCTCCCAGGGTACCACTCCTGGGGTGGGTTTCTCGCTCGAGTCCTGGCATCTTCGCGCCCTAGTAACTTCGCGTCCTGGCGTCACTGGCATCTCTGGTGTTCTCGACATCCTGGCCCCACAGGTCTGACAGAGTTTCACAAGTCATGAGAATCGCGCCCTCACTCACGCACTCACGCTCCCATTCACGAACTCTCATACCCCCCCCAACACGCGCACACACAAACACACACACACACACACACTCTCTTTTCTCTTCTTGAGGACGTATCGAGCGGGAACCTCGTCTGTGAGTCAGTTGCCAGGGGCTCTCGAGCGGGGAGCCCCCTTCTCTGTGGGGTCCGCACTCCATGTTTGGAATGCGTTCTTCCTCAGAACTCACGTCATCCTGACCCCCGGCGCGCGAGGCAATGGGCCAGCCAAAGGCCCCCCCTGATCCGTTTTCCTGGAAATCCCGGAAATCTGGCGGCGAATTCCAAACCGGCGCCCTCGCGTGGGAGATCCTCAGAGAATCAGCTCCCAGGGCCAAGCCGCTGCCCTCGCGTGGGAGATCCTCAAGTGGCCCCCTTGATCCGTTTCCGGGAAATACGAGACATCTGGCGACGAGTTCCTAACCGCCGCCCTCGCGTGGGACATCCTCAGAAAACCGGCCCCCCGAGCCTCCGCAAGGAGGCCCTCAGACGCGTGCCAGGACGCACAAGGCGTGTCCCAGTCCAGGGCTCTCGCTGTCGACATCCTCTTCCGAATCGGGATGAGGAGGGAGGACGGGAGGAGCCGCTTTGGACAGGTTTGGGGCGCCTCTGGGGCCGTCTCGGGACGATCTTTTGGGGCCTCTTGCGGCGTCTGGGGCCCTTCTGGGACGGACCAGGGGAGAGCCCGAAAAACCTACAAACACAATGTTTTGGCCTCCTGCGGCCCACGGCACCTTGGATCGGGGGAGACGCATGTGGTACACACTACTGGGGTCTTAGGTGGACCTCCCTATGGACCACGAAGCGTGACAGGAGGGGAGGAGGGAGGTTAGAGGAGGATGAGGAGGAGACGCGGGGACCGTCTCTTGGAAACGAGGACCCAACAACCCAGACCCCCGACGTAATGATTTTTTCATTACGTCGACCCCCAGAGGTCTGGACCCTTTCCCCATGACCGGCTTTGCATCCTGAGTCGTTGTTTGACGCTCCCGAGGCCCGGCGAGGGCCCCCGGAGGCCGAAAATAACCAAAAACCTCCCGTCATGATTTTTTCATTACCCGAGGGGGTCTGGGAACACAGGTTGGTTGGGAACAATGCTTTGGCCTCCCGCGGCCCACGGCACCCTGGATCGGGCCTGGACCACCCCCCCGCAGCGGCGCGCCTGGGCGCCCCCGCCCCCTGGCGCGCTCCGGAGAGGGGGCACAGCGCCGACCCAAGGGCTCCGCGCGGACGTCTCGGGGCGGCGGCGGCGACGGCGACGACGACGACGGCGACGACGACGGCGACGACGACGACGACGACGACGACGACGACGACGACGACGATGGCGGCGGCGGCGGCGGTGACGACGACGAGAGATAGCAGAACAAAAACAAGTTACATGTTTTCCCCGTGGCGTTTTGCGTGTCTGTTTTTTTTTCGTCGTACCCTACGATCAAGAAGTGCCGTCGCCCCCCAGCGAAGTTTTGGTTTTTCCAGCCGCGGCCCCAGAGCCCCCGACCCCTCCCCCAGGGGCAGCACGGCGCCCCGGACCCACTGCGGTGGCCCCGGGGGTCCAAGACCCGGGGGCGGAAAAGAGGGGGGTGATGACTAGGGGGGGGTGGATATCATGGCGTGGGCCACGATATTTCCCCAGATCTCATGGCGCCTCTTCTTATTTCATTGCGTCCCTGGCCCCCCCGCTGGGCCGCGCACATGCCGCCGGTCATGATTTGCACCCCCCCCTCTTGGACACCCCCCTCTTGGCCGCTCCCGAAAGACGGGCTGATGGGGGCCAACATCGAGGCCAAACGCGAGATCTGAAAATCCAATCCGCCAGAAGTCTGGGTCCGCTCTACTCCGCCCCTCCCCAGCGCCAGGCCGAGCTGAGGCGGTGCGCGAAAAGCCTCCTCAACAAGATCTGCCCCGACAACTGCTCCACGATCGCCAGCAGGAACAGCCGCACGGGCTTTGGCGAGCGAGGGCCGGGTAGTCCGCAGCCTCCTCCGAGGGTGTCCGCGGTGCGATCGGTTCGGCGGCTTCGACGCAGCCGATTGCGTTCTGTTGGTTCGGTTTTATCGGTTGTTGTGTCGTCCTGGCGGCACTCGAAGGGGTTTGGTGTTCCCGATTTCGGTGGCTCCCAGGTTCTCCAGCTTCCTTCGAGGTTGTTCGAGGTCCTTTGGCAGGATTTCGAGATTCTTCGAGATTATTCGAGCTTGCTTCGAGGTTCTCCAGCTTCGAGGTTCCCCAGCTTTCTTCGATGTCCTTGCTGGCGTTCCCCAGCACGAGACGGCCGCGGGAGCCCGAGGGGGGCCCAAAGAGTGTCCCAGCGCGGCCCCATGGAGGCCCGAGACGGCCCCAAGAGAGCGCCAAGGGGGCCCCACGAGGGCTCTTGGGGGAGCATCTTGGGGGGATACGGCTCCCAGCAGGGCCCCAAGAACAACCGGGGACGCATGAAGCTTCCCAGGTTGTTCTTGGCTGCCAAAGCCCTCTCAACTGGCTGCCAAAGCCCCCCCCCAAACGGCCCCGAGAAGCCCCCAGGGTCGCCCGAAAATGCATCTCTGAGGCTCCCAACGAGCTGCCCATATGCGCAACGAACTCGTGCCCTATTGGTTCTGGACGGGCCTCAGCACGCACGCCTCCACCATGTACTGTGTCCCCAGCCGGAAACCGACCCATGAGCCTTCCAGATCGCCCCACGACTGCCGAAGAAAGCCGGAAGAAGCCTCCAGATCGGACGGGGCTAGGACGAGGATAAATCCGTCGCACAGCGTCTCGGAGCGCTCGCAGAGCATTCTGGAACGCCCCGAAACGGCCGCGGCGCCCGAGGCATCCTCCAGAGCCGCGGGATCTCTCAGGAATTCCCCATGTATCCTCACCCGAACGCATCCTCGTCCTAGCTCCGTCTCGCCAACCGGCCAAAGAGCGCCGCAAGATGGCTTACGAATCCCCCAAGGTGGTCCCAGAAAGTCCAGGTACGGCCCGCTGCCTGCGGCCCCTCGGGGCGCGTCCTGGAGCCCCAGGGCGTCCCAGAACGGCCCCAAATGGGGCGTTCTAGAAAGGGCCTCGCCGTCGAGGGTAGAAGGAGTTGGCATCTCTTCCACGGCGGAAGGCGGCGGAAAGTCGGCGGAAAGCGGCGGAAGTAAAACGAGGCCGCCTCCGCCGGCGGAAGGCGGCGGAATCTCGGCGGAAGCGGGCGGAAGCGAAAGGCGACCTCCCAAGAGATGACAAGCTGTTTGGGTTCAGGGTTTCCGGAATCGGCCAAGTGGCCCCGAAGATGCGACAAAGACGCCTTCGACGAGACGACGACCACCGTCACCACCACAGCAACGACGACGACGACCATTTTGCGAACCAGTGATCTAACAAGTTGCGCTGACCTTCATGTGTTGTTCCCTCTTCCTTGAACCCGCTCGCTAAGTCCATGAATCAACACCTTTTGGCGGGGGTGTTCTTCCACCTACGAGGGGAATCAAGCCAGTTCACTCTGTGCGTGCGCACTGCACCACCTTGCCCGTCATTCGAGCTAGCGCGCCCGCGGCAGCTCACCAACTTGGACGAAGTGCGAGGAAGTCGACGACAACGAAACGCACGACGGAACGAGCTCACAAGCGACGGACGATGTCATTTTCGGCCTTTGAGAGCCCCTCTAGGAGTCAAGTTGTGCCGTAGGCAACGTTTCTTGTGGGCCACGATGCGTGTGAGGGGTGTGCTGGAATTTGCGTGTGGACGCGTGTGGCCGCCCTCATTGTTTCTGGAGGTGTAGCTCCCTGTGGGGCACGATCTGTGTGAGGGGTCTGCTGGACTGCTCGTGGGGACGCGCGGTGGCGCCCTCAGTGGTGCCGCAGGTGGCGCTCTACACGGGGCACGGTCCGTGTCAGAGCGTGCCGCATTGGGCGTGGGGGCGCATGCGGGTGCCCTCTTTGGTGCCGTAAGTCGATTTCCTTGTGGGGCACGATGCGTGTGAGCGTGCGCCATATTGATGGAGGATGAGGATGGGGGAAGGAGGAAGGACGGAGGAGGAGTGGACGCGCGGCGCTGCGGAAGCAATGAGGATGATCTAACCGCACGGGAAGGTTTGGAACAGCGAGGCACCGCCTGGCATAGAGCGACCGCGTTATGCCCCCTGCAGATTTCCGACTCTGTGGCGATCCAGCGAGATTTTCCACAGTGGCGCTCAGAGCCCCCGCAAAGCATTAAGGAGACCAGATCTTCAGCTTGCTCAGCAACGCGCGCGTGGTTCTGGTCAGTGGCTGATCTCACAAAGGGAACACAACCTGGCTGCCGGCGGCAAGTACCGCCACAGTGCCAGCCCGGCACTTTGCTTTGGGTGGCGATTGTCCGTGGGTGCGCACGGTAGGCCGCACCTTGCACATGCTCTCCCGCGTCGTGTCGGGTATTTGTTTACTGTCTTCCTCGTCTTCTTCCTTTCTTCCGTCCTTTCTCGGGCTTCCTGTGGGTCACTTTGGCCCGTCTTGAGGCCGTCTTGGGCCGTCTTGGGACTCTGATGGTCCGTCTCCGGGCACTCTTGGCCGTCTGGGGGGTGTCTTGCGGCCGTCGTGGGGCCATCTTGGGACTGCCTTGAGCCGTCGGTGTAATTGAGGCCGTCTTCGGTCCCTCTGGAGGCCCGCTTATGCCAGCTTCGGGCTCTCTTGGGGCCGTCCTGGGCTGTCTAGGGTCCAGGGGCCCGTTTCGGCTGTCGTGAGGTCTTCTTGAGCTGTCTTTTCTGGGCCATCTCTTGGACCGTCTTTGGGACCATTTTGGAGACTTCTAGAGCCAGCTGGAGCTGACGGAGGCCCGAGAAGACAAATGAAGACGCATTCTTCCCAAAGGCTAGACTAATATCGATGTCTCTGTATCAATATATTTGTGTATATAGTGTGTATATCTATAAATGTGATTACGTGTATGCATGTAGGTAGGTAGGTAGGTAGGTAGGTAGGTAGGTAGGTAGGTAGGTAGGTAGGCAGATGGGTAGGTAAGTATGGGTGCGTTCAAGAATGTTGTTTTGACCTCTTCGCGCCTGCTGGGTTTCCCTTGTGGCACTCTCGGGCCGTCTTGGGGGTCATGTTGAGCCGCCTTCAGGCCATCTTGGGCCGGCTTGGGGCCAACTTTGGCCGTCGTGGAGGCATTTGGGGTCGTCTTAGCGGCCGTGGCCGTGGTTTCCCGCCTCGGCGGCTCTGGAAGGCTGGTTGCGCTGATCCATTTTTCCACAAGTGATCATGGCTTCGGAGCGCAAATCCATTGTTTTCTACAAGGGATCATGGCCTCTGGAGCGCGGGCCAGGCGTTTACGAGGGATCTTGGCTTCTGAAGCGCGGACCCATAGTTACCTGCGAGGGAACGGGGGGGCGATGCATGCGGGTGTATGTGTCGAGACGGGGGGGCCTTTCGAAGATCACGGAAACGCTTGTAAGACAGCCCTTGGCATTCTACTGCACCTCATACCTTGAACGGGGTCAAATATACAGCCCTTTTCAGAAGGGGGGAGGTGGAGGTGGAGAAGAAGGTGTAAACTCTTGGCAAGAAACACCCTGCTTGCCTCCAGGGTGCCGTGGGTTTCTCGGGCTTGTTTGGTCTTGCCATAGACAGCGTGACGTCCCCACACCAGAAATCGATGGGCGCCCTGTGGTCGCAGGGTTGGGTTTCTTGTTGGAGGTTTCTTGTGGTCGAGCTTCTATTGTAAAGGGAGAGGGAGGAGGTGGATGAGGAAGAGGCGGAGGAACAAGTTTTCGCGATTCTGCCACCTTGGGGCCGTCTTCGGGCCACGGAACCTGCAAAACATTTCCAGGGCGAAAACGTTGTCCTGGACGAAGTCGACATGATGTCGAAAACTTGAGCCCCTTCCCCTCAAGAAAATTGCCTCCTGCTTCCAGCCCCGAGAGAGAGAGAGAGAGAGAGATGCAAAGCCGGAAGGGAAGGTCCGAAGTCCCTGGTTGGCAGTCCTCCTCCTCCCCCTCCGCTTCTGCGAACCCGGTCGTCATCTTTGACGCTAGACACCCGGGCCCTGATTGATGAGGATGGGCAGTGACATGCTGTCTCTTGCTGCACAGAGACAGTGACGTATCCCCTGTCGACAACGGGCGTGACGGGTGGGGGGGATGGCGTCATGTCTAATTCCCACACGGCGCCATCGCGAATCGTGACGTGACTAGAGGCGTGCGGGGGGGGAGGGGGGTGGCGGAGCCGGTCACGGGCTACATCACGAGTGAGAGAAGAAAGGGTTCCCATCGCCGTGCCAGGATAGCAACGGAGGCCATGGTCAGGTCAGAGGAGGAGCTCGAGATCGTCATCCACCTCATCTTCCAGAAGGCCGGCCCCGGGGGAGACGCTGGCCCAACGAGCCCTGGCGTAGAACCACCCAGCGTAAATGGTGCTGGCCCACAGCGCTTCTCGTTTGAGGCGCGGAGTTTGCACCCAGTCCCCAAGGAGTCGAGGGGTATTGGAATCAGGCGACTAGAACGACTTGTTTTTCATGCTCCTGGTTCACATCCGCCTCCTCGTGTATGCCCCCCTACACTCGCAGCGAAGTGTCCGGGCCTGTGTTGCCTGGGCATTCTTACTCGCAGTCAAGAGCTTCGGGGTTGTTCTTCGGGCGCTCTGGAGCAGAAGTGTCCGGAGCCTTTGCCTTTGAGGCGAATGCCCGTGGTGGTGCCGGTCCTCTGTGAATGGTGCCTGGCCGGCGAGCCTGCTTTGCCTTCTCCTCTGCGCTCCCTGCCCTTTCCCTTTCGGCTAGCACCGGTCCTCCGCACGCGCTCTTCCCGCCCCTCCTCGTCGTTCGGCCGTGGCCGTCCCGCGCCCTCGCAGACCGCACGGCTTGGTGACCTGTCCCGCGGCCCCCGCCAGTGGCGCTCGGAGGGGGGCCGTTCCGCGGGCCTGCTGTGCTCCTGGCCTTTGCAGGGGGGAGGCCGAGCCCACGCCCGAGGAGTTTGCTTCCGAGGTGCCGCCGTGTGCCTCCGAGCACTCAGCGCCTCCGTGGCCGTGCCGCCACGGCGCGCAGCGGGCGCGCGCCGCGGGCGCTCTGGTCGCTGGTCGGGTCCGTGCGGCCTTCTCCTGCCCTCCCACTGTTGCGGGCAAGATTTTCATCCACGTCGACTGCGTCTTGGAGTTTCGGGCTCCCTCCCTCCGATACCAGAGGCGCCGAGGACATGGATAACACCATGTCGCCCCTAGCGGTCGGATGTTTACCAACGACCACTGCGCCGCGGCCTCTTGGCGCCCCTTCTCAGGAAGCCCAGGACGCAGTCGATGTGGATAGAAATCTTGCCCGCAGTTGTTTCCTCCCTCCTCCTCCTCCTCCTCCTCCTCCTCCTCCTCCTCCTCCTCCTCCTCCTCCTCATCCTCATCCTCATCCTCATCCTCATCCTCATCCTCATCCTCATGCTCCTCTCCTCCTCTCCTCCTCCTCCTCCTGCTCCTCCTGCTCCTGCTCCTCCTCCTCCTCCTCCTCCTCCTCCTCCTCCTCCTCCGCCAACCTCTCTCCGCCTGCCTGCCTCCGGCCGCGTCGCGCGCGCCGTGCCGGTGGCCTCCTCCTCCTCCTCCTCCTCGCGCCCGGAGGAGCCGTTGGGGGGCCCGGGCCCCACAGAGCTCCGCATCCCCTCCAGGGCTTGGCGCGTGACCCTGGGCCCAATTGGATCGTCTCCTCGCGCGCCTTCAGGCCCCAAGAGGGCCCCAAGACGGGCCAACCGTTACCTCTCTTTTACAGCTCCCCCGCTCCTGAGGTGTATGGCGAAACGCCACAACGACTGCGTCACGCAGTGCCTCTTGTCGGCTTGTATGATTCAGATCAGATATTGAGCTCGGCAGAATGTATTATGATTATATTGAGAGCCGGTCAAGAACAGCTGGCGGCACTGACAGCATCCGTCGCCGGGCTGCATGCCATGCACGGCCATTTTTGTGCACGGAGCCTTTTGGGAAGCAAGTATAGAAACATGCCGCCATTGCAAATACCAGTACCTTGGGATGGAAAAAAAAAAAAAACAAAAAAAAAAAAGGGCCCCAAGACGGGCCAAGAGAAGAGGGCCTGCAGGGGCTCAGCGGGCCCTGGAAACGACAGGCTCGTTTTTTACCGCTTCCGTTTTGCCGTGTTTTGTGGCCGGTTCCGACGCCGTCTTTGTTACCGGTTCCGTGGCCGTTGTTTGACCGGTGCCGGCTCCGGTTCCAATCCTGGAGCCGTTTTTTGTTGCCGCTTCTGGTCGCCGTTTTTGTTGCCGCTTCCATTTTCCAGGGACATTTTTTTGGGAAACGGTGAAAAAATGGCCCTGCCGTTTCCGGGGCCTACAAAGTCCACTGCGGCTGCCCGCAGCCTGGGGCGATGATGCTCCGAGTTACTTTTTAGCCTCAAGTCGGGCCTGCCCCCTACAGGGGGATTTTCGACGAAAAATATAAAAGATACCCCAAAGATACTCAAAAAATAGTCCAAACATAGCCTGGGGACTATTTTCCAAAATATTTGTTGACCTTCTTGGGGTATTTTTTGGGGTATTTTTAATTTTTCGTCGGCAATCCCCCTGTAGGGGGACACGCCCGACAGAACTTCCGCCTCGATCACCAGAGCGGATTTTGAGCACGCAGGAGGTACCGAAACGGAGAGGTTTTCGCGTGTGGGGCCCTGGGAGGCGATACTCGGTCGACACCGTTCCGATACTTCTCTGGGTGCTCGAGGGCATGTCTGGGATGTGGTCCTCAAGTACGATGGGAGCAACATGAGCCTGGGGTTAAGCCGCGCCTTGCCCCCCTCCCCACCCTTGCTCTGATTGCCACGGGGCTCGCTTGCGCGCGTGGGGGGAGAAGTGCTGCCGCGGTCGCGGCCTACGAGATCGAGTGAGTGCTGCAGACGCGGCGGAGAGGCCTCCTGGACTCGGGCACCTGGCTCCTGGATGAGCGCGCGGCGTGACACGAGGTCGAATTCTGAGAAGGCGGGCGCAAGGGGTGGGCACAAGACGCCTCCCCCAGCTGCAGGTCTGACGTGTCCGCGCCATGGCGTTGGCTGCGATATAGTTTTATCTAGTATGTGTATGTATATATATATATACATACGTATATAGAAAGAGAGAGAGAGAGAGATAAAGAAAGAGAGAGAGAGAGAGAGAGAGAAGCAAACAACAAAACAAAGAAAGAGAGAGAGAGAGAGAGAGACAGAGAGAGAGCGTGAGAGAGAGGGAGGGAGACATGCAGGCAGGCAGGCAGGCAGGCAGGCAGACAGATAGACCGACAGACAGACCGACAGACAGGCGACAGACAGACAGACAGACAGACAGACAGGCAGGCAGGCTGGCAGGCAGACAGACAGACAGTCTGAGCAGAGAGAGCGCACGCGGTGGCGGCCGAGGCAGGGCGCCAAACAGCAGGCAATCGGCTGCGCACGTAGGAGGCCAGGCAAGCTGTCGCTGGATCCAGGGGCCGCCGAAGGTCGGGGGACCTCCTCCTCCTCCTCCTCCTCCTCCTCCTCCTCCTCATCCTCCTCCTCATCCTCATCCTCATCCTCTTCCTCCTCCTCCTCCACGTTCCTGGGTGCGTTCAATGGGACCCTCTTGCTGCTGCGCCACTGCTGCCGTGCCTCTGCTGCGGGCGGGCCATGGGCTCGTCCGGGCGTGTCGCGCGTCAGCCGTCGTGGCGCGCCGTCGGGGTCGCGGCAGGCCGCGGGCGGGTCGTGAGCGCACCGCAGTCGGGGCCACCGCTGGGTCGGTGGACGGGCCTCCGCGCATGCGCGGGCGGGTGTGGCCACAGGGCAGCGGGAGACATGAGCGCAAGGGGGGCGCGGGCGAGGACGGGCCCGGCCCAGCCAGGCGGCGCCGTGAGTTGCGCTCCGCGTGGCTCCCGGAGCTCTGGAGCCCTTCCCTTGGGCTTGGCATCGCTCGGACGTGTGCATTTGTCCTTCGGCGGGGACCATCTAGGAACATCCTGGATCATTTGGCGGAAAAAACCACGCACGAAATCAGCAAAAAACACAGGAAGCGGACGTCCGAGCGATGGCCAGTGGACATGCTGCTGGTAAGCCTCGGGAGGATGCCGGCAGACAGGGATAGGGTTGAACTTTCCGCCAGGGCTCTGTCTGTGAGCAGACGACGTTGCTGAGCCGTAGTCTCGGTAGCTGCCCCTGGACGTGCTGCTTCCTCCCGAGCCGTTGTGTGATGCTCCCGGGGCCGGGCGAGTGCCACGCAGGCCGGCACACGGCCAAACGCATCCCGTCGCGCTTCTTTCACAACGCGAGGGGGCACGTGGGGACAGTCCGGATATGTTTTACTCGCAAGTTACAGATCCATTTTAGTTGTCACTCGCGGGGCCCTCAACGCCACCGTGTGCGCCTTCGGGCTGCTGCGCGGTGCCCCGAACATGGGCGTCGGACGACCCGCCCGAGCGGAACGAGGAAAACGCGCCGTAGCCGTAGGGACGGCTAAGGACCGTCGGGGGTCCCCTCGGCTACCCCCACTCAGGGAGGGGGAAGATGGCGAGGCGGAGGAGGAGGAGGATAACGAGGAGGAGGAGAAGGAGGAGGTGGAGGAGGAGGAAGAGGGGGGATGGCACACAGGAGGAGGAGAGGGTCTGGGCGAGCAGCAGCTGTAGGTGGAGGAGAAGGATGCTCGGCCCTGGCCCACCCTTTGTGGCAGGCCCTCGCGGAGCCCCACTACTGCGAGACCTATGTCGAGCTCGTGCACGCCCTCAAGGGGGAGATGCCCGAGTTCCCGAAGGCGGACGGTGGCAAGCCGTTGACCTTCAAGGCTACCTGGGCGGTGCCGCGGCACAGGGCCTGGGTTCAATGTTCTGCCACGCGCACCACTTTCATTAAACTTGTGTGTAGCGTATGGTGCACAGCTCCATCAGGAAGTGTGTTGATGCACACGTGTGCTTCCATACCATTCCAAAAGAAAAGTCCTCTCCTTTGGCGCGTCCTCGCGTTCGGCGGAAGCCCGCGGAAGGCTGTCGGCAGCTGGCGCAAGTAAAACGACGGCGGGTGCGCCAGCGGAAGGCCCGCGGAGGAGAAAGTGGTTCGCCGATATCAGGAAGTTTGACTAACGTTCCTCACCAGCTTCGCGGATCCCTCAAGTTCTGGCATGGACCAGGGTTTGAGCACCAGATGTGCGTTGCAGCTGTTTACAGGCCAGGCGGCCGAGACACGTTCGGGTCTGTTCATTCGTCGCGTGAATGTTCGCTGCGCAAGCAAAGGTTTCACATACGGGCGCGCCTGTTGCAGGTTGATCCTTGCGTGGCTCAGGGTTTGCTCGGTGCATTTCAGTGTTATCGTCGCTCGTCGCAGGGGAGTGTGTTTGTTTTGCGGCGGGATGTATCCCCGCAGTCTTGGCCTCTTGGTGTGCTGAAGTCCAAAGTTCGCTCGAGATATCCTTACAATCTGCGTTGAAAGCCGAGGGGCCCAAACCACCAAAGAGGCAAACCGTTCAAGACCTCCCTTCAATCGAGCCGCCTTGGGATGCTGACATCAGCGCCTCGCCAAGAAATAGTTTGAGACATCCCCGCAATCTGGGCGCGAACGGGCCCGTGAACACACCCTGGCGGCTCCCTCTTGGGAGTGCCGAAACCAGCGCCTCGCTCGAAACATCCTAATTTACAATCTGTTCCGAAAGCAGATGAACCTGGACATCGAATCAGGCACACGGTTTGAGGTATCCGTGCGTTTTGGACGCGAACGGGCCAGTGAACACATTCTGGTGGCCCCTCCCCCAACCAGCGCCTCGCCTGAGACAGTCTCACACTCTGTTCTGAAAGCAGACGAGTCTGGGCACCCAAACAGGAAACTGCTTGAGACATCTCCAAAGGCTGGGCGCGAAGGGGCCAATCAACATTCCCTGGCGGCTCCTCCTTGGGAGTGCTGAAGGCAGCGCCTCGCTCGAGACATCCTCACAATCTGCTCTGAAAGGAAACGGGCCTGGGCACCGACACGGGCAATCCTTGAGACATCCCCACAATCTGGACGCAAGCGTGCCCGCGCAACCACCCTGGCTGCTGCCCTTATGGGCACTTGGGAGTGCCGAAACCAGCTCCTCGCCTGATACATCCTCGCAATCTGCGAGTCTGAGCGTGATAGATTCTGAGTACGAATGACTACTATGTAGGTGAGTGGGTCTGCGTGTGAGTCAGTGTGAGTACGGGTGGGTCTCAGGGTGAGTGAGGCAGAGCGCAAGCGAGTCTGAGTTTGGATGAAACTGAGTATGAGTGGGTCTGCGTGGCTTGTTATGAGTGAGAGTGGTTCTGAGCGTGAGTAAGTCAGAGCGTGAGTGAGTCTGAATATGGTGGGCGACTCTGAATGCGATTGAGTCTGCGTGTGAGTGATGGTCTGAGCGTGAATGGGTCTGAGTTGATTGAATATAGATGCGAAGGAGTACGAGTAGAAGTGGGTATGCGTGTGATTGCTTCTGAGTGCGATCAGGTGTGAAGGTGACAGACCCGTCCTGGGGATATGAGGAATAAGGAAGAGAAGAGGAGGACAAGGAGAGGAGGAGCAGGAGAAGGAGGAGGAGGACAAGGAGAGGAGGAGGAGGAGGAGGCGGAGGAGGAGGTGAGACAGCCGGCGGCGTCTAAGTAATGACGCACACCCCGTCTTAGGATGTGAGAAACGAAGAAGCTCTCGCCGCCCCTGCTGCGCCCGGGAACGAGGAGGGGGAATATTTAGAGCAGTAGGGGGAAGAGGAGGAGGAGGAGGAGGAGGAGGAGGAGGAGGAGGAGGAGGACAAGGAGGAGGACCCCACCCGCCTCTCCACCCCCTCCGCCTGGCCGCACCCCGTCGCCCCCCCAGGCGGCCCTGCTTAACGTCACCCAGGAGGAGTACGAGGCCCGAGGGCTGCCGCGGCCAGCCTCCACTCGCACAGCCTCCGCCGCAGCAGCCGGCCTCCTCCCCCGAGTAGGAGAAGGGGAGGGAGGAGGGGGGGGGAAGTCCTCCTCCTCGTCCTCCTCCTCCTCCTCCCCCTCCTCCTCCTCCTCCTCCTCCTCCTCCTCCGCTTGCCTCCTCCTTCGCCTGTCTCCTCCTCCTCCGCTTGTCTCCCCATCCGCTGGGTTCCACGAGGAGGCGGGAGATCCTTCTGCTGGTGACCCCCATCGGCACTGGTCGGAACAGGGCGGTGGGAGCGCATCCCTTTGGGCAGCGCCACCAGACCCTGAGATCCGACGCTGCAACAAAACATTCGTCGTGAGAAATCACGACTGCAGACCCCAGGACCCCATCTTTCTGCGTCATCTTTCGAGCCGGATCGATCTGTGAGGGTCCCGGGGCCCGAACCAAAGGCGAAAACGCCCGGCTCGATAAAATTGAGACGCCAGGATCTCAGGGGACCCCCAGAGTTCTCGACTTCCCTCCCCCGACGCCCCGCCGTGCGTCCCGAGCGCCTGCCTCGCTGCCCCCCCAGACCTGGCGAGGGCCCCCATGGAGGCTGGGAACGACCACAGGACGATATATATATATATATATATATATATATATTCAAGAGTACTTCAAAGATAGTCTAGAGGACGATATATATATATATATATATATATATATATATATATATATATATATATATATCGACCACCAGGAACGATGTTCAAGGAACGATATATATTCAAAGATAGTCTAGTACTTCAAGGAACGACCACAGGACGATATATATTCAAGAGGACGATGCTTCTACTATTTCTGCCACTTGTTTGGGTAGTTGTTTGACTACGCCTCCACTCTGCCTGTAGGGCGACACGCCCGACCCAAGTCTGGCTCGAAGGGCGCGGCGGCGCCGCCCTCCCTCCCGGCCGAGACGGGGCCTCCTCTTGGAGCTTCGCTTCCGCTCTCCGCTCGCCCCCCCCGCCGTGCTGGAGGGAGGCCCGTGGCGCCGAGCTCTCCGCGCGGCCGCTTGCCGAGTGCTCGGCCCCTTCCTTAGGTCGGGCCTGTCCCTCTGCAGGAGGAATAGTCCAAAATGGTATTTTAAAAAAAAGCATGGGGATGACTTTCAAACTGGTTTTGACTATGTTGGATTATTTCTGGAGTCTGTTTCATTTTTCTCCCAAAATCCGCCTGTAGGAAGACATGCCCGACCTAACCCTTCCCTCCTCGGCGGGGGCCCCAGCCGCGGCAGGGCACCTCCTGGGAGGAAAAGGCACCCATGCCGCTCATCGGCCACGCGCAGAAGGGGGTTATGTCGGAAGGGGGAAGGCTCCTTAGAAGCACCCCTGCTTCTTAGAAGGCGCGGGCCTGGTGTGGATGCAAGGCCCGCGCCTTCTCAGAAGCAGCCCCCTTCGAAGACGCCTCCCCCCCCCAGCTTCCCCTACCCCCCTGTGCGCACCCATACCGCTCCACTCGCCGCGTCTTCGCCTTCCTGGGCCTCCTGGGAGGCCCTCGTCGCCGCCGCTGCGTTCGCCTCGAAATCCTGGTCCGAACGCACCCCGGGAGATGTCCGGGGGGCAGCGGTATCGGTCACCTCTTGGTGTCCCCAGGGGCCCCGCCCCCCGCGCGCGGGCCCCCGTGGCCGGAGCCGGCTCGGGTGCTCCGAAGCCCGACAGGGCGAGAAGTCAGGAGACTCCGCATCCCGAGACCCCTTCGCGTCGTGGAAAAAAAATCGCGACGGGACTTTGTTTACGGTAGGTTTGCGTCGTGTCGACCGGCGGCGACCCCAGCGCGGGCGTTCAAGGTTGAACGCCGCCGGCGGCCCAGAATCGATCGATGTGGAACGATCGGACGTTGCGGAGACGGCCGATCGTTCAAGGTTGAACGATCCAGCGCGGTGTCAAAAACCAACGCTGGGGTCGACACGGCACGGACCTGCCGTACCCATTGTCGGCCTCGGGGGGCCCTTGCCGGGCCTCGGGGCCGCCACGAACCGAGATTCAGGACGAAGAGCCGGTCCCGGAGAAGGGCTCCAGACCACCGGGGGTATCGACGCTGTCAAAAAGATTCGCGACTTCTCCTCCTCCTCCTCCTCCTCCTCCTCCTCCTCCTCCTCCTCCTCCTCCCCTCCTCCTCCTCCTCCTCCTCCTCCTCCTCCTCCTCCTCCTCCTCCTCCTCCTCCTCCTCCTCCTCCTCCTCCTCCTCCTCCTCCTCCTCTTCGAGGGTCCTGGACCACGGGGCCTGACGGTGCGGACGAGCCCAAGGGCTGCCCATCGGCCCCGCAGAAAGATGGCCCAAGGGGCCTCCAAGACGGTGGCACCATAGCCAGGGACGTCCACAGTCCGACTCCGACTTCAAGGTCCATCCGATGCGGCCCGGCAGGAACGGATCCCCTCTATCGGGCCTGCGGGGGCCGATCCCCATCCGCGATCCCAAGCAATCCGATCCCGATCCAGCTCCGCGCCCAGGCGCGATCCGGAATGCTTCCGATCCGACGTGGTGTCAAGTCAATCCTTCCCGAGAGCCACATTTTCAAAGCGACCCGCCCTCCATAGTCGAAATGGTTGCTGGTTTGAAGGTGAATGCGCTCAGCGCCAAGGCGACAGCAACATCTTGAAACCGGCCCGCCCTCCAGGCTTCAAACTGTTGCAAGGCTTGTTATACCCACTGGCGCGGTACTGAAGCGAGAGCAACAAGCGAGAACGAAACGATGACATCCTTGAAGTGGCGGTACACTTTTAAAACGAATGCACGCGGTGCCAAGGCGAGAGCCACATGTTGTGGATCACCCGCCCTCCACCCTTGAAGCCGTTGCAAATGTCAAGCCTCAGGATCACACATGGTGAGAAAAGGTCTCAGGCGAAACGCCCGGCCTGCCCGACCGACGCGTGTGGTGGTGCGACGGGGACGCGTCAATTGTCAGGAAAGGGATGGTCGGGGGAGGGGGAGGGACGATAGGGCAGAGTTTCTGCTGGCGCAGGCGCAGAGTTTCTGTTGGGGGAGGTGGCTTTGGGAGGCCCCGGGGCGATCCAGAGGCAAAGGGGGCCGAGAGGGAGGAGGAGGAACATGCCGAGGCTCCTGCTCTCCCCGGTCCTCCTGTCATTTGCTCCTGCTGCCCCCTCTGCCTGGCCTGCCCATCTCCACCTCCCTGCCCTCGGAGGAGCAAGACAGCATCAGCAGAGACTCTCGAAGGACCGTTCGGACTTCTAGAATCTGCGCTGGGCTCCCCCCTGGCAGCGCCTCCAACGCAGCGTCAGGCAGCGGGGCCCAGCGCCGAACGATCCGCGCGGAGTCTCGGAAGTGTGCGGTCGTGCTGGTTGCTCTTGCTCTGCGCTTGGTTTCCTGCTCCCGCTCTCTTCCCCGTCTGCATCGCACCCAGACCTTCGACGTCGCAGTGCTTCGACAACGTTGACCCCCAGAGGTCCATGGAGCCCTTCCCGGGGCCGACTCTTCTGCCCGAGTCGTATTCGGATGGGCTCGGGGCCTGGTGAGGGCCCCACCGAGTTCGAGAAAGGCCAAAAAGCACCCCGTCGTGATTTTCGTTGGGGGCTTCACTTCGAGAGGAGGTCCAGGCAGACTCGCAACCTCGCTGCATTCAGGCCATGACCAGCAACACGCTGCAGCCGACCGAGGAGGAAAAGGCCACCAAAGACGCCGAGGAGGGCTTGGCGGAGCGAATGGCGGAAGGCAGTTGTTCTTACGCGGGTTGCGACGGCCAGCCAGACACCCCGGAGCTGGTAGCTTAGTTGCCTCGGTACGCACGTCTTGATCTGCAACACGTACCGTGCTCAAAACGTCCGTGCCATTACGTTGCGTGTTGGCTCAACGTGTTGGCCCGCGTTTTGGCGAACGTATCTCGTCGGACCTGCGTTTTCAGGATGTGTGTTGAGCTCCGGATCAATACGCTACGTGTTGCGTGTTGCGTATCGGGGCAGCTAAGGCTGGTAGTCGTCGCTTGCCTCCCCCATCTCTTTCGAGGCTGCGGGTCAACGCGGGGGGCCCATCGGCTTCGGCTGGGGGGGCCATCCGATTTTTTTGTAAGGACGCGGTGCGGCTGTGCAACAGCGGCGCACCGCGCCGCCACGACAGACCCCCGCTTCAAACAACAGTGTCGAGCCATGGGCTTCCCCGGTCTGATGCAGCGCTCGGGCAGCGCGCTTGACTGTGACCGCATGGCTGCTTCGAGTGCTCGGGTGCTCGCTTCGACCACCCTGACGCTGCTCACTGAGCCTAGAGTGCTGCCCGTGAGGCAAGAGCATGAAAGCCGAACGGGCTGAGCAGATTACCATCCGACCCAGTCTCTCCATGGACTGGTCGGGTGCACATGGACGCTCGGAAGCAGAGGTTTCGGGCGGCGCAGGCAGAATCACTGATGTCCCTGGCCCTCATGGTGAGCGACGAAATCCTTGGACCACATACCTTGCGGCTCCCCGAGCGCAGCTGGGCCAGGGAGGCCGGGGGGCGGGCCAGAACATCACAGCGCTGGCATCTCCGTTCGCCCCTCGGGAGGGGAAGTGGTACAGCTCGCGCTGGCAGAAGACAGCAACTCCCTCGATGGTCCCGTCTCGGGACCGTAGGAGCAGCGGATGGGGCCGAGAGGTTTGGAGGAGGAGGAACGGGGGGAGAAACGGGGGAGTAAAGACGGGAGAAGGGTGAAGGGCAGGAGAAAGACGCAGACCCCCGACGTCATGATTGTTTCACAACGTCGACCCCCAGACACTTGGACCCCTTCCCAGGGACCGGCTTTTCATCACGAGGCGTTTTTCGACGGTCCCGAGGATCGGCACAGGCCCCCGAGAGGCCGAAAACGGCGAAGAATTTCCCGTCATGGTGTTTTCTGTCACAACGCGAGGGGGTCTGGGGAGGAGCGGGGGAAGGGCAGATAGCATGCATATACGTTTGTCTATCCGTATATCTGTAATATGAATGTATGTGTGTATGCATGCATGCATGCATGCATGCACGCACGTACGCATGCACGTATGTATGTATGTATGTATGTATGTATGTATGTATGTATGTATGTATGTATGCATGCATGCATGCATGTATGTATGTATGTATGTATGTATGTATGTATGCATGCATGCATGCATGTATGTATGTATATATGTATGTATGTTTGTATGTATGCTTGTATGTATGTATGTATGTATGTATGTATGTATGTATGTATGTATGTATGTATGTATGTATGTATGCATGTAATTAATGTATGTATGTGTGTTTGTATGTTTGTTTGTTTGTATGTATATATGCATGCATGCATGCATGCATGCATACATGCATGCATGCATGTAATATAATGTAATGTAATGCAATGTAATGTAATGTAATGTAATGTAATGTAATGTAATGTAGTGTAATGTAATGTATTGTAATGTAATGGAATGGAATGTAATGTAATGTCGCATCATGTACTGTACTGTAATGTAATGTATGTACGAATGCATGTATGTATGTATGCATGCATGCATGCATGCATGTACGTATGTATGTTCACATGACATACAGTCTACCACCTCAACATCGCAGGCTTCGGGTTACATCGTCGGCGGTTGCATGGAGGGAGAGGCGGGAGGGCGGCGCGGTCAAAGGGGCTAGCGCGTCGGGGGCGGCTTTCTGAGATGGCGGGGGGGGTCTCGGAAGCCAGGTCCTCCTCCTCCTCCTCCTCCTCCTCCTCCTCCTCCTCCTCCTCCCCCTCCCCCTCCCCCTCCTTCTCCTCCTCCTCCTCCTCCTCCTCCTCCTCCTGCCTGAGGTCCGACGCATCCGACGCTCCATCAACAATTGGAGCGGGCGGCTGTTGGCTGTCTTCGGGCCTCTGGGGGCCCTCGCCCAGCCTCGGGACCGTCCAAGAACGGCTCTCGGGACGAGAAGCCGGCCTTGGGGAACCCAGGCATGCGACGTCCCGATTCTTTCAGGACGGCGTCCCTGGAAGTCCCGACCCTGTCCCCGGGACCGGTTCCTCGTCCTGAGTCCTTCTTGTTGACGGTCCCGAGGCCCGACGAGGGCCCCCCCGGAGCCGAAAATAGTCGAGAACCTCCCGTCCTGACTTTTCCACGACGCGATCATGTCTGGGAAGTGGTCGCCCACCCACCCACCCACCCACCACCCACCCACCCACCCTCCTCCTCCTCCTCCTCCTCCTCCTCCTCATGTTCCTCCTCTTCCTCCTCATCGACCTCCTCCTCCTCCCCTCCTCCTCCTCCTCCCTTCCTCCCTCCTTCCCTCCCTCCCTCCCCCCCTCCTTCCCTCCCACCCACCCACCCAGACCTCTGGGGCCCGGCCCGTGCGTCGAAGGAGTTGGAGCAGCCCCGATGTCCCGGGGCGCTTCTCGGAGGGGCCCGCGGGCTCCCAGGAGGAGGCCTCTTCGGGCGGGGCTGCAGGGCGAGGGCGAGCCCGTTCCGGAGCGTGCCGGAGCGCCCTCTCAGAGCGTTCCCGAACGCTGCGGGAAGGCCGCGACGCCCGAGACATCGTCCAGAGCCCCGAACCATCAGGGGTGAATCGGGTCAGGGCTCACTCGGGTTCGTTCTTCGGAAATCGAAACCCGAGGTACCCCGGGCCTCGGAACTACCCCGGATAATTCGGGCGTCCAGAGCCTCGAATCATCAGGGGCAATTCGGGTCAGGGCTAACTCGGGTTCGTTTTTCGGGAATCCGAACCCGAGTTACCTCAGGCCCGAGTTGCCCCAAATAACTCGGGCGCCCGAGGCATCGTCCAGAGCCGCCAGCTCTCGGAGATTCTCGATGTATCCCCACCCGATGTCGCCCTCGTCCTGGCTCCGTCCTGCCTCTGGGAGGCCAGGAGTTATGAGAAAAAATCCCAGAGTCCTCGCGCGGCGCGCAATAGTTGCATTGTCTAGTCTACACGTCATCTCCGCAAGCTATAGGTTGACGTTCGCGCGGCGATGCTCTGGCGTCAGTCCGACGTAAACCCGACGTAATTCCGACGGAATTCGACGTGAACCCGACGAAATTCCGACGTCATCCGACGTGAACCCGACGTACAGCCGACGTGGATCCGACGGTCATCGGGTCTCGAGTTGCCGCGCGAGGCCTCGAGGATTTTCTTCACGACAGGAGTGCCTCTTGGAGGCCCCGTGCCTTCTCGGAAGCCCCCTCCTCCTTCTGAGAACCCTTCCCCCCTCCTCCTACCCCCTCTGCGAGCGTTGCCATGCTGCGTGGGCCAAAAAAATGAGGGGGGGGGTCCAGGTACTCGGTTTGTTCTCTCGGGGGCTGCTTGCATGCGTGGAGAAATCCAGGATTTGTTGCTGATGCGCTCTTTTCCCCATAAGATATCGTAGATCTCTTCCCCGGGGCCCAGCCGGCTCCGCATCCCGAGCCGTGTTCTGACGGTCTTTCGGGGGCCCCGCGGGGGGCTCCTCGAGTCCGAAGGGCAAGACCTCTCCCGCAGTGCTCTGCAGGGCGGGCGCGGCCGCAAGAGGCCGTCGCACGGCAAATCACAGCCCTGAGAACCCCGCGCGCGAGATGCACCCGACCCAGACAGGATCGCGTCGTAAAGAACTCAGGACGGGAGTTTCTTGACTGTTCTCGGCCCGCCGGGGCCCCCGCCGGGCCTCGGGACCGTCAAAAAGGGACTCAGGATGAAAAACTGGTCCCGGGGAAAGGGTCGGGACTTCCAGGGACGCCGTCCTGAAAGAATCGGGACGTCGCATGCCTGGGTTCCCCAAGGCCGGCTTCTCGTCCCGAGAGCCGTTCTTGGACGGTCCCGAGGCTGGGCGAGGGCCCCCAGAGGCCCGAAGACAGCCAACAGCCGCCCGCTCCAATTGTTGATGGAGCGTCGGATGCGTCGGACCTCAGGCAGGACGTCGCATGTTCGGGGAGGGGAAACCCAGAGCACCCCGAACGCAGCAGCTTCTCCAACGGCCGCGGGAGGCCACCGCGCAGCGCGCGGAGCGAAGAAGTGCAGGATATACCCCGACGAGAAAAGCCACGGCCTCTTGATGCGCGCCCCCGCAGTGTGTCCACGGAACTTCTCACCTTGATCTATTCCACGACGAGGGGAGGCCCGCCCCCCCTCGTCGTCGTCATCGTCGTCGTCGTCGTCATCCTCGTCGTCGTCGCGATCCTGCGAGAACGCCCGAGAACCTCGGACCTCGAACCTCGAACCTCGAGCCTGTCGTCCCCCCCTGAGCCGACGACGACGACGACGACGACGACGACGACGACTTCCGCGAAACTTCCCACCTTGATTGCTTTCCACGACGAGAGGAGGTCTGCCCCCTCTTCGGGTGTGGTGTTCGGCCCACGCTCCGGCGCCTTCGGCGGCGGCAGGGCGGGAGGACCTGGGGCAACCCCCTGAGCGTCCTCGCTGAGGCGCGGTGTTTTTTGGAAACGACCCCGAGGCACATGCCAAGACACACCCTGCTTGCCTCCAGGGTGCCCTGGGTTTCTTGGGCTTCGATGGTGTCGCTAGGGAAAAAAGGCGTGGCGTCCCCATGTCAAAACTCATTGGACGTCCTGGGGTCTCAGGGTTGGGCTTCTTATGGGAGGTTTCTTGTGGTCGAGTTCCTATTGTTTCCGAAGCGACGAACATTTCGCGTGAGCGCCCGCCTGCGAGGAGCTGAGGTTCCTCATGGACAACAAGAAAAAGAAGCTGCTCGCGAACATGAAGTTCATCGGGCACCTCTTCCTGAGGGATCTGCTCGGAGGACCGGGGCGCCCGCTCCTCTGGACTTTTTCTCCTGCCCCCTCCGCACACAAAAAACAGACGGGCCCAGCCCGCCCGACCCCGAAAAATGGGCAGGGGCGTTCGAGGTTGAGGAGGTGCGCGAGGAGGGGTAAGGGCGAGGGGCTGTGCGAGGAGGACGAGGCATTCGAGGTGGAGGAGGAGGAGGAGAGGATGAGAGAGGAGTGTGTCGGAGGGACGGGGATGAGGTGTGCGAGGAAGAGGGGGAGGAGGAGGAGGAGGAGGAGGAGGAGGAGGAGGAGGAGGAGGAGGAGGAGGAGGAGGAGGAAGGGATGAAGGCTGGGCTGCAGGTCCAAGAGCAACACGGCGGCTGGTCCGCCTGCGGAGGCCGGCGGAGGGCTGGCGGAAGCAGGCGCGAGGCGCCAATATGTCTGGAACGCGCGCTTCCATTACCAGCCGATAGCGATTGCCGCCCCTTTTCCCCCTCCCCCCCTCCCCCCTCCCCTCCCTCCTCCCCTCCTCCTCCCCTCCTCCTCCTCCTCCTCCTCCCCTCCTCCTCCTCCCCCTCCTCCTCCTCCTCTCCCTCCCTCCTCCTCCTCTCTCCTCCTCCTCCTCCTCCTCCTCTCCTCCTCCTCCTCCTCCCTCCTTCTCCTCCTCGTCCTCCTCCTCCTTCTCCTCGCACTCTTCCCCCTCATTCCCATTCTCCCTCTAGTCCCTCCCCTCCTTCTTGGGCCCCCTTCGGCCCTCACCCGCCCGCGAGGCTCTTCCGTGTTAGTTCTTTGGTGTTCTGGAACGTGCGTTTTCGGAACCCAGCTGATCTTGACTCGTGATTCCCACGGCTCCTCTCTCAATCCCAGGCCCCCAGGGGTTTTTAAAGGTGTTCTTGGCCCAAACAGATGCCAATCGGATTGTTGCGGGATTCCTGAAGGTTTCCTGCACGAAGACTTTTAGAGAGCCCGTAAAAAAAGGATTCCTGACAATTTTGAAGGTTTCAAAATGATCGAAGGATCCACGCGGGATTATAGATATACCTACAGGATGCGTGCAGGATTATCTCGTGTCCTTGAAGATTATGTTCTGATCCGTGAGGATTCCGCATGATTCCCGAGGATCTGTTCCCAGAGTGGTTCCTGAACGATTCCTGGCGATTCCTGAAAGATTTCTGCTGATTTTTTGCAGGAGTCTTTCAGACCTCCTGAGTGCTCCAGAATATCCAAGAGTCGTGCGACGTTTCGCCGTCCCCCAGAAAAGATGAAGGGGGGAAATGAGAAGGGGCGGGCATTCTCTCCAGGCTCGGAAGTCCCTTGGCTTGCTGAGAAGCTTTCCAAGCCTGCCCCGAAGATCTCGGAAGGGACGATGGCTTCTAAGATGTCCCGCCGCCTTCTGAGAAGGCCTTCTCCTTCGCACTTCCCCCCCCGCTCGCCGCCGAGAAGCGTTTCGGGGCCTTTGGGGAACCCTCTGGAGGCCTTCTGGAGGCCTTTTGGGGGCCTCTCCAGGCGTCTGGCGTTCTCGGGGGTCCTCTTGGGCCGGAAGGCTCGGAAGGTCAGTTCGGGCTGCTTCGCTTGGGCAGCTCTCTTTGGGCCCTGTTGGGGCTCTCCTGGGCCCGCTTGGGCGCCTCTCGGGCAGTCGTGGGGCCCACTTCGGCAGTCGTGGGGCCCTCTTAGGGGCTTCTTCGGCTGTCTGGGAGCGATCATTGAGGCCTCGTGAGCCATCTTGGACGCTGTTGAGACCAAACACGCGGATATGTTCAAAGTATACGTTTCCCCACGGGATCTGGACGATATTTGTTTCCCGGGGCCCTTTCGGGGGTCGTCTTGGGGTCCTCTTGGGGCATTTTTGCAGCGTCTTGAGCAGTCTGAGGCTATCTTGGTCGTCTTCCAGAACTCCGATGCGTTCTGGAGCCCTGCTTGAGCAAGTGTAGCTATGTTCTTGGGCGTCGTGGCGGCCACAGTGTGTAGAAATGGAGGATCTGGAGGCCCCAGGGGGCCTTGATGAGCTCGGCCCCGACCCTCGACGTCGTGATTTTCTCACAACATCGACCCCAAGAGGTCTAGACCCCTTACCCTGGACAAGTTGTTCATCCGGAATAGGTGTTTGACGGTCCCGAGGAAGGCCCCCAGGAGGCCGAAAACAGTGGAAAACCTCCCGTCGTGTTTTTTCTGTCACCCAAAAAAATCGCGAGGCGGTCTGGGGGGCACCCTCCAAGCCCCCCGGGCCCCCCCCCTGGGGGTTTCCCCCCCTAATCGAGCTCCCACGTCCCAAGGGAGGGAGGGGCACAGCCAATCCTCTCGCACGCTTGTGCACCCCCCGCGAGCGGGGTCGGCGGATTGCTGCAGGATCCCCCGGGAGTCCTCAGGATCCGGGAGGATTTTGGCTCTTGAGGACTCCAGAATCATTCTTGGAGGATTCCTGCGGATTCCTACCGTATCGTGCCGGTGCCTGCAGGATGCCTCAATATCCTTGCAGGACTCGCAATCATGCCGGAAAGATTTGTGAAGTTACCCAAGGATTCCAATATGATTCCCGAGGGGTCCTGTGGATCCCTGAAAGATTCTTGAAGATCCCTGCGAGGTTCCTGAATGATCAGTGAGGATTCCTCGGGATTCCTGTCGGGCCGAACGAAAGGGGGGGGATAGGGAAAGGGGGGGTTACGAAATCTGCTGCATGCAGCCGGTTTCGGCCCTGCCGCTGGGCCCATTCCTCGATACATGGGCTCCTCCCGGCACCGGGAGGCGCTGGGAAAATCAGCTGCGTGAGCTGATTCTCTACCCTACCTACCCTTTGTTATCCCCCCCCTTTCGTTCCCCCCGATCCTGGGGATTCGTTGCTCTCCCCACCCTCCCCTCCGACGACGAGTCAGTTGACGACTCAGCTCGGGGTGCCAACGATATCGCTCGGCGGTTCCCCCCGGGAATTGGTGTAGCATTTCTGGGTGCTTCTGGCAGCGGGGGGGATCGATAAGGCGTTCCCAGGAAAGTGCAAGTCGTAACTGCTGAGACTGTAAATTTCAAGATTCATGATCAGATCAGGCGATCGCAAACATGGATCCAGGGGGGCGTGGATGAGCGACGGGTCCCGATTCAATGGACAATCGCGGATTGCCGCCGCCGAACGAGGCGGCAAGGGCCGCATTTTGGGGAGGGCACCTCCCACGATCCATGGATTTGGCGGCCGCGCGCCAAATCCATGGATTGCTAATCCATGTTTGCGCGCCCCCGATCGAAGGTGGTGAGGGCGGCTGTGGCGAAACGCCAGGCCCGCCTCACCGACACACCGTTGGGACGCGACAGGGAGGAGTTGTTCATATGGAAAAAAAGGGTTGCAGGCAGGAGAGGGATGGAGGACGTGTTGAGGGGCGCTTGTGGTGCAGGGGGGGGGAATAGGAAGGGAGGGAGGGAAGAGGACGGTGGTAGGAGGGAGACCAGGATAATGTATGAAAGGGAACTACCAAACCACTTCCCGACAAGTTTTTCTTCGCGGCGCCGTGCGTGTTCGCCATCGACGGCCTATCACCGATGCATCGGCGAGTCACAGTCGATTCGTGTTCCCCTCGGCTGGTCACCCTCCATTGCTCCCCCGCCATCCTGGGAAAAGGGATTCGAGGATCGAGGAGGAGGGGGGGAGATCGAGGAGGATCGAGGAGGAGGGAGGAGGTCGAGAAGGGATCCAGGATCGAGGAGGAGGGGCAGGGCGCAGTGCTGAGCTTCAAAGATGCCCCCAGGAAAGGTCATCTCGGGGGTGGCGCGCTTAGCTTCCGCGGGGGGGGCTCCCGCGTCGCGTGCCCTCTCTGCCCGCGGCGCGGTCCTCCTCCTCCTCCTCCTCCTCCTCCTCCTCCTCCTCCTCCTCCTCCTCCTCCTCCTCCTCCTCCTCCTCCTCCCCTTGGGAGGAGCCCGAGCCGAGGGAGGCATGCTGCGGGCGCCCAGGCGCCCCGTCGCGTCGCGACGGCAGTCGCGGCGGCGGTCTTCCACTGCCTTCGGCCTCCGGGGGCGGAGGAGGAGGAGGAGGAGGAGGAGGAGGAGGAGGAGGAGGAGGAGGAGGAGGAGGAGGAGGAGGAGGAGGAGGAGGAGGAGGAGGAGGAGGAGGAGGAGGAGGAGGAGAGGAGGAGGAGGGGAGGAGGAGGAGGAGGAGGAGGAGGAGGAGGAGGAGGAGGAGGAGGAGGAGGAGGAGGAGGAGGAGGAGAGGAGGAGGAGGAGGAGGAAGGAGGAGGAGGAGGAGGAGGAGGAGGAGGAGGAGGAGGAGGAGGAGGAGGAGGAGGAGGAGGAGGAGGAGGAGGAGAGGAGGAGGAGGAGGAGGAGGAGGAGGAGGAGGAGGAGGAGGAGGAGGAGGAGGAGGAGGAGGAGGAGGAGGTGGAGGAGGAGGAGGGGGAGGAGGAGGTGGGCTGGAAATCAGGGGGGAACAAGCACGCAGGCACCAGTCCTCGTCGACTCCCAGGAGGACAAGGGGGGAATGATGTCACCGTCGACTCCCAGGGAAGATTTGGGGAACGATGGGAAGTGGGGGAGAAGACGACAACCCAGAATTTCTGGGAATCCTGGGATTTGTGTCTACTTGTTTGTGTGTCCCTGGGCCCCTCTAGAAAAACCGGTCCCGGCGAAGGGTTCAGACCTCTGTTGGGGGCGGCCAAGAGGGAAATGATGACTAGGGGGGTGGATGTCATGGCGGGGGCATGATATCCCCCAGATTTCATGGCGCCTCTTCTTATTCCAATACGCTCCCTGACCCCCCTCCCTGGTCCGTGCACGTGCCTCGGGCCATGATTTGCACACACCCCTCTTGGACGCCCCCCTCTTGGTCGCTCCCGACTCCGGGGGTCAACGTTGCACAAACAAAGATCACGATTCCCAGGAGCATAGGGGAAAACAGAGGAAGTGGGGGAGAAGACGAAAACCCAGAAGATATGTGAATCCTGGGATTTGTGTCTACTTATTTGTGTGTCCCTGGGCCCCTCTAGAAAAACCGGCCCCGGGGAAGGGTTCAGATTTCTGTCTGGGTCGACCGTGCCGAGCGGCGCGGGGGGGCTGCGACGAGGCCGGGCGTCCTCCGAAGGCCGCGGGGCCTCGGGAAGGGCCTGAATATTAAGTCAGGCCTGTCCCTCTGCAGGGGGAATATTCAAAAACAGTCCAGAAACAGTGCGGGGACGGTTTGTTGACCATTTTGTGGTTATTTTTGTTGGCGTCTGTTGTTTTCGTCCAAAATCCGCCTGTAGGGGGGCATGCCCGACCTAAGGCCTGAACAGACTGCTGCTCAGATCAGATGGCTGGAGGTTTCCCGAGCCCTGCGAGAAGGCCCGCCCCTTATGCCCTCTCCCCCCCCCTTGGGCGCGCCGCCGCTCCCTGCCTGCCGCGAGGCGCTCCTCCCTCTGGGAGGCGCAGGGGGGAGTGCCAGAAGCAGGTCGTGCAGGCATCGGAGACGGGACCAGGACCCGGACTTGGACCGGGCATGTCCCCCCAGAGGCGGATCTTGGACGGAAAAAATACCCCAAACATGTGCAACATCAGCCTGGCGATGGACCCAACCATACGCAGTTGTGAATACCGCAATTGTGAATACCATCTTCGCCCGCGCTCCCTATGTGGCCACGGCTTCCCGCCGGAGCCCGACATGCTCAGGAACACGTTCGTGGCCAGAGCCATGAGGGAGGAGGTGGCGTTGCACGTTGTTGAGGCAGCACAAGTATGGGGCCACGATCCGCGTGAGGGGTGTGCCGCAATGGCCTGGGGCCGCCATGCGAACCCTGCCACTGGCGCCTTCGGCGGAGCTCCTGTGGGGCCACGATCCTCGTGAAGGGTGTGCCGATCTGCCCCGAGGCCGCCATGCAAACCTTGCCATTGGCGCCTTCGCAGGAGCTCCTATGGGGCAACGATCCTCGTGAGGGGTGTGCCGAAATGGCCCGCGGCCGCTATGCGAACCCTGCCGCCGGCGCCTTCGGCGGAGCTCCCTACGTGGCCACTTCGTGAGGGGTGTGCCGAATGTGGCCCGAGGCCGCCGTGCGAACCCCGCCTCTGGGGGCCTTCGGTGGAGCTCCCTATGGGGCCACGATCCTCGTGAGGGGTGTGCCGAAATGGCCCGAGGCCGCCGCGCGAACCCTGCCGCTGGCGCCTTCGGCGGAGCTCCCTATGGGGCCACGGTCTTTGTGAGGGGCGTGTTGAAATGGCCCGAGGCCGCCGCGCGAACCCTGCCACTGGTGGCCTTCGGCGGGGCACCCCATGGGGCCACGATCATTGTGAGGGGTGCGCCGAAAGGCCCGAGGCCGCTGCGCGAACTGTGCCACTGGGGGCCTTCGGTGGAGCTCCCTATGGGGCCACGATCCTCGTGAGGGGTGTTCCGAAATGGCACGATGCCGCCGTGCGAACCTTGCCGCTGGGGGCCTTCGGTGGAGCTCCCTATCGGGCCACGATCCTCGTGAGGTGTGTGCCGAAATGGCCCGAGGCCGCCATGCGAACCCTGCCGCTGGCGCCTTCGGTGGAGCTCCGATATGGTGCCACGATCCTCGTGAGGGGTGTGCCGAAATGGTCCGAGGCCGCCATGCGAAACCTGCCACTGGGACCTCCGGTGAAGCTCCTTGTGGGGCCACGATCCTCGTGAGGGGTGTGCCGAAATGGCCCGAGGCCGCCCTGCGAACCCTGCCACTGGAGCCTTCGGTGGAGCTCCCTATGGGGCCACGATCCTCGTGAGGGGTGCCGAAATGGCCCGGGGCCGCCATGCGAACCCTGCCACTGGCGCCTTCGGTGGAGCATCCGATGGGGCCACGAAGCGCTGTAATGCGTGGGTGAAGCGCAGGGAGGAAAGAGGAGGGCGGGAAGGAAGGAACGCGGGGCGCTGTCTTTTCAAAACGAGGACCCAACACCACCGGATGGTTGGGAAAACCAGACATGGCCAAGTTCGTCTTCATCTGAATTGCTTTTTGAAATTATGTTTGTGGCGCGCAAAGATCACGGCGGGAGAGGCCGTTCTCCTCCTCTGTCCAGCCTCTCCCTCCTCCGCCCGCAGGCGTCCCTCGGCCGTGGGCCGAGGAGCGGGGGGCGGAGGATCCCGTCGCGAGGGGGGTGATGACAAAGGGGGGGGGGGGGATATCATGGCGGGGGCCATGATTTCTCCCCAGATTTCATGGCCCTTTTCTTTTGTTTCAATACGATCCCTCGCCCAGCCCACCGCCGGGCCGCGCACGTGCCGGTGGCTATGATTTGCCCCTTCGCCCCCTTCTTGGGCCCCGATCCCGCCGCATCGGCGGTGCGGCTCTACGTGGGAGCCCGACGGCGTCGACGCATCGGCGATGCGGCGCGATCCTGCGACCCCCTCTGGCCAGGTCACCGCGGGGCGCGGGGCGCGACGTGGGGCGGCCTGCCGTGGCACCCGCCGCTGTGATTTCCTCGGCCCGCGGCCCCTGTGGTCCTCTGGCCGCTCCCCCAGACCCAGACCCCCTCGAGTAATGAAAAAATCACGACGGGAGGTTTTTCCTAATTTTCGGCCTCCGGGGGCCCTCACCGGGCCTCGGGAGCGTCAAAAAACGACTCAGGAAACAAAGCCGGTCATGGGGAAAGGGTCCAGACCTCTGGGGGTCGACGTAATGAAAAAATCATTACGTCGGGGGTCTGGGGAGGGGGTAGGTCTTCGTCCCGGAGCCGTTTTTGATGGACCAGGGTCGGGTATATAGGCAGGGCCCCAGGTAAGGGGACCTGGCCAGGGGACCCAGCAGCAGGGCCCCCTGAGCGCCTCAATTTGCCAGGATCACTAAGCCAAGTCTGCCGGAGCTGGTGTTTTTCCGGGTGACGGCAGCTCCGGTTAATGGAGGATGACGATTAAGAATTGACCGGGGGTCGTGTTCACGCGGCGGCGCCCGGGATGACGACTTGAAAAAACCGGCCGCGGGCTGGAAAACTATTTGTTTAAATCGTCCTCTTCCAGTCAGAAACTTGTGCAGAGATAGCAGGAAACTATTGTTTAAATCGTTTCCCCCCGATTTTTTTATTAATCGTCATCCCGCATTAGTGGAACGGGGCGGAGGGGGCGTCCCCCAGTACACATCACTAAATCAGGTCCCACTAAACTTAGTTTTGCCAACGCCCGACAGGGGCCCGATCATCCAAAGCCGGAATCGTAGAACCATCTTGTGCCCCTCTGTGAGAGAACGGTTCCGTTGGGCAGAAATCCGGGCGTGTTTATATCAATTGTACCTGTACGGCTGTGCTTATGTTTGATTGTTGTCGTGCCAGGCCTTATTCTATAAATGGTCGGGTGGGCCTTGGGGAATGCACGCGCAACGCCAATGCATTATTTCTCCTTGTCCTCACCCTCTTCCTCCTCTTCGTCCTTCTTCCCAATGTCGTGGTGGCTTTTATTGGGCGCACTGCACGGTTACAGCTGCGACCGCCTAGACTGCCATTGAGTTGCTCCCCTCGCGGTCTTCGTCGCGCTATTGTGATATCCCTCCTGAGGGGCAGCGGATTTCTAGTTTCCTTTGCTGTGGACAAAATTGGGGACCCCCTTTGCGAGAGAAGGGGCCGTCATTCTGCCCTCCCTCCGATCAGCTTCCGTTCGCTGCCTCAGCTTCCATCGCCCACCCAGAGGTAGCAATCGAGGAGAAGCCCCCAGGCATCCTACACCACTTCTCGACTGCCTCTCGGCACACGGCCACGGGCCCCCGAGGGCAGAAGTGAGGGGACACATCTTCGGATCGCGAAACGCGGTGGAAGCCCACGTCAAGAGGCACCCTTTGCTCGCCCCCCGAGGGTGCCCTGGGCCTCCTGGGCTCTGATGGCTCTGCGACGCAGAGCGTGACGCTCCCACACCAGGAGGAGGAGGAGGGAAAGCAGGAGGAGGAGGAGGAGGAGGGAAAGGAGGAGGAGGAGGAGGAAAAGCAGGAGGAGGAGGAGGGAAAGAGGAGGAGGAGGAGGAGGAGGAGGAGGAGGAGGAGGAGGAGGAGGAGGAGGGGGAGGAGGAGGAGGAGGAGGAGGAGGAGAGGAGAGGAGGAGGAGGAGGAGGAGGAGGAGGCTTGGCCTGGGGGCCTGGGGCCTCGGGGTTGGGCCTCTTGTGGCCGAGCCCCCTACGGCATCCTGCCGCCCCAGGGCCGCACGGGCACGGCCCGTGCTCCGTCGCAGGTGGCGTCGGAGCTGCTGAAGATAGACGGCTCCGGGGGGCTGCCCGAGGACCGGCCGCCCGGGGCTCCGCGCGGCGGGTCGGGGGGCGGGGATTTGGAGGAGGAGGGGAGGAGGAGGAGGAGGAGGGAGGAGGAGGAGGAGGAGGGGAGGAGGAGGAGGAGGAGGAGGAGGAGAGGACGAGGAGGAGGAGGAGGAGGAGGACGGGAGGAGGGGGAGACGAGGAGGAGGGGGAGGAGGGGGAGGATGAGGAGGAGGAGGAGGAGGAGGAGGGAGGAGGAGGAGGAGGAGGAGGAGGAGGAGGAGGAGGAGGAGGAGGAGGAGGAGGAGAGGAGGAGGAGGAGGAGGAGGAGGAGGAGGAGGAGGAGGAGGAGGAGGAGAGTTGGGTAGGGCATGTCCTCCTACAGGTGGATGTTGGAAGAACAATGGGAAATGGTCAAAACAAAGTCAGAGATAGTCCAAAAGAGTCCTAGAAGCGTCCCTAGACTGTTTTTGTTCACTATTGTTCGATACTCCTCCTGTCGAGGGACATGCCCGATTTAAGAGGAGAGGAAGGTGGCGGAAGGAGAAGGGGGGCATAGAGGCTCTTGGCCGTCCCTGGCAAGCCGAGCCGCGGCTCACAGCTCGAGGGCGGCAGGAGGGGGGAAGAGGAAGAGCGCCCAAGAGGGTCCCTTGTCACACTGTGCGCTCCTAGGCCCAGACAAGATCGCGTCGTAAAAATATCAGGACGGGAGGTGTTTGGCTATTTTCGGCGAGCCTCGGGACCGTCAACAAGAACGACTCGGGACGAAAAACCGGTCCCGGGGAAAGGGTCGGGACTTCCAGGGGCGCCGTCCTGAAAACATCAGGACGTCGCATGTCTGGGGAAGTATCCCTGGCTGGCCCCAAGAGCCCCCCCGAGATCCCAACATCGATCACTGTGTGTTTTGTTGCAGCTGGCGGGGCGGCGAGAGATCCTTCTGATCCCTTCCCCTTTCTGTTCGGAGGGCCCCGACCTCGAGAATTTGCGGCGACCCTGGCCGGCTGATGTCCAGGGTCTCTCTTCATTCCGAGGCGGTGCGCTTCGTGTTCTCATCTGCCCGTGGTTCGAGCTCTTCCCGCAGAGTCCGTGGTCATGCTGAGGACGCGCTCCACAGCAGCTCTAACAAGCGGGGCACCCAGGAGGACCCCCTGTGCGCTCACGGAAGTACATTTGATTCGTCCCCAGGGCCCCCTCACGAGATCCTGCGAGTAACCTCCGCCGCTCTCGCTCCCCCCATCCCCCCGCCGCCGCCCAGCTGTGCCCTACTGGTGCGAGGGGAAGTTGCAAGGAGTCGGACCACATGGCGGCACGGCTGCCGCCGGGCGATGTGTGGATTTCTGTTCCGTTTGGATCGCGTTGGATGCTGTCGCTGTGCGCCGCTTGTGCACTGCATGGAGAGACGACTGTCCAGTTGCCTGCGGCAAGCCCCGCCACCGTGCCTGTGCAACAGCGCTGCAGGAGGGAGGCTGAGTGTAGGAGCAGCGCAATTCCGACGAGTGGTCTGAGAAGGACAGGTCGTAATTTCGACATCGTCTTCGTCCTCGCGGTAGGAAGGAGGTCGAGATAACACCCCGCGGCAGTTCAGCGAGGGGTCTGAACTGGGGACGGTCGCGATCCCGTCATCGTCTTCGTCAGCGCGGTAGGGATGAGGAGGAGGGGGAGGAGGAGGAGGAGGATGATGAGGAGGAGGAGGAGGAGGAGGAGGAGGAGGGGGAAGAGGAGGAGGAGGAGGGGGAGGAGGAGGAGGAGGAGGAGGAGGAGGAGGATGAGGAGAAGGAGGAGGAGAGGGATAATATGAGGACGAGGAGGAGAAAACATCTTGGGGCCCTCTTGGGGCCTCCTAGGGGTCTTCTGGGCGCTTCCTGGGTGGCCTCTTTGGTGCCCCTTGGGGGCCTCTTGGGGCCTGTTCGTGGGGACCTCTTGGAGCTTCTAGGGCCGTTTGGGGGAGACGATTGTCCCGTCTGACGCATTCGGAGGCCGTCTTCGGGGCCTGGCTTGGGCGTCTTGGTGCTCGCTTGGGGCGCTGTCGGGCCGTCTTGGGGCCCTCTTGGCGGCCTCTCGGGCGATCTTGGGGTGCTCTGGGGCCGACTCAGGGCCCTCTTGGGGGCCTCATGGGCTGTCTTGGAGTTACCTTGGAAGCCCCTTGGGCCGTCTAGGGCGGTCGGACACCCACATAGTGGAGAATTTCAAAATCCTCCCAAACCCCGAGGCAAATCAATGGCTCTGGCAACCTCTGGCTCTCCTGGAGTGCCTCTTGGAGCCCTCTTGGGCCGTCTTGGGGACGTCTCGGGCTGTCTTGGGGCCGTCTTCATAGCCTCTTGATCAGTCTTGCACCGTCTGGGGCCGTTTCGGTGTCGTCTTGGCTGTCTGAAAATCCGTCCTGGAGGCCACCTTGGCCGTTGGGAGGCCGACGACACATCCCGAACGTAACTTCTGAGGGGGCGATGTCTCGAGGACGCGCAAGCCAGGGGAGGGGTGGGGCCTGAGAAACATTAGATAGCCCCCGAGACAACAGACGAGCACCGTAACGCGCCCACTCCCTCTAGCTAGGTACGGTGGCGGACCAGGCTTTGACCATTGTGGAGGAGGAGGGAGGGAGGGGGAAAACGAACATCCGGAGAAGGAGGAGGAGGAGGAGGAGACGAAACGTGCGGAGGAGGACGACGAGCAGGAGGAGATGGAGAGGTGGGCGGCAACCAGGAGGAAGATGAGGAAGAATATGGCGGAGGAGGGGGACGGGCGGAGGAGGGATACATACATATACACCTGGATTTCGATATCGATCTAGGTATGTACAAATGTATACATGCATATGCATATACATATATATATATATGTCTGCCGATGTGTATGTATGCATGCATGCATGCATGCATGCATGTATGTATATGTATGTATGTATGTATGTATGTATGTATGTATGTATGTATGTATGTATGTATGTATGTATGTATGTATGTGTAGCATGTGCATGCATGCATGAATGCATGCATGCATGCATGTATGTATGTATGTATGTATGTATGTATGTATGTATGTATGTATGTATGTGTATGTGTGTATGTATGTATGTATGTGTGTATGTATGTATGTATGCATGCATGTAGGTGTGTGTATGTATGTATGCATGCATGTACGTATGTATGTGTGTATGTATGTGTGTCTGTATGTTTGTATGTATGCATGTATGTATGTGTGTGGGTGTATGCGTGTATGTATGTATGCATGCATGTATGTATGTGTGTATGTATGTTTGTAGGTGTGCCTGCATGTATGCATGTATGTATGTATGCATGTATGCATGTATGTGTGTATGTATGTATGTATGCATGAATGTATGTATGTATGTATGTATGTATGTGTGTATGTATGTATGTATGTGTGAATGTATGTATGTATGCGTGCATGCATGCATGCATGCATGCATGTATGTATACATATATACATGTATGTATGTATGTATGTATGTATGTATGTATGTATGTATGTATGTATGTATGTATGTATGTATGTATGTATGTGTGTGTGTGTATGCATGCATGCATGCATGCATGCATGCATGCATGCATGTATGTATGTATGTATGTATGTATGTATGTGTGTGTATGTATGTGTGTGTATGTGTGCGTATGATTGTGTGTATGTATGTATGTGTGTATGTATGTATGTATGTATGTATGCATGTATGTGTGTGTATGTATGTATGCATGCATGTACGTATGTATGTGTGTGTATGTATGTGTATCTGTATGTTTGTATGTATGCATGTATGTATGTGTGTATGGGTGTATGCGTGTATGTATGTGTGTATGCATGCATGTATGTATGTATGTATGGTTGTAGGTGTGCCTGCATGTATGCATGTATGTATGTATGCATGTGTGTATGTATGTGTGTATGTATGTATGCATGCATGCATGCATGTATGTCTGTATGTATGTATGTATGTATGTAGTTATGTATGTGTGTATGTATGTATGTATGTATGTATGTATGTATGTATGAATGCTCACAGCGCCCTCTGTGATCTACCTTTCTCGTCTTGATTGGCTTTATTCCCTCTTCTTCTTTTTACCGTCTTCTTATTCGCTCCTTCCTCCATTCCTTAACTCTCGAGGTCGGGGAATTGTGGCGGACCTCGCCGTTTTCATATGGTTTTTATCGAGTGGAATCGCTCCTCCATCTCTCTGCGTTGTCATATTATCTTATTATTATCTTAGTTCGTTCGTCCTCTTGTTATCTACCCCTCGTTCTTCATCTCTCTTTCTCTCTCTTTCTCCATTTCCCGCTTCGCCAGCCTTCTAGCATTCATCCCCCCCCCCGAGCATCGGCATCGGAAGCTGGCGGAAGCTTGCAATTAGCATAGGGGAGCGGTGGAGGAGGAGGAGGAGGAAGGAGGAGAAGGAAAACACATCCACGTGTGTAAAAAAATGCCCCCCCGAGCATGGTTCTCGAAACTCTAGCCCTGTGCCCAACGGCATGGGGCTGGAATTTCGAGGACCATGCTCGGGGGGGCATTTTTTTGGGGGATCTTCCGATTCTCTTAAGGTTTCTTCGCCAAGCATTCCGCCGCAGCTGGCGGCAGCTGGCGGAAGCATTCTGATGCTTGCGGAAGCTGGCGGGAGCTTGCCATAAGCATAGGAGAGCGGGGGAGGAGGAGGAGGAGGGAGGAGGAGGAGGAAAACACATCCACGTGTGTAAAAAAATGCCCCCCCGAGCATGGTTCTCGAAACTCTAGCCCTGTGCCCAACGGCATGGGGCTGGAATTTCGAGGACCATGCTCGGGGTGGCATTTTTTTTGGGGATCTTCCGACTCTCTGAAGGTATCTTCGCCAAGCACTCCGCCGCAGCTGGCGGAAGTTGGCGGAAGCATTCTGATGCTTGCGGAAGCTGGCGGAAGCTTGCAATTTGCATAGGGGAGCGCGGGAGGAGGGAGGAGGAGGAGGAGGAAGAGGGGGGGGGAGGAGGAGGAGGAGTGAGGAGGAGGGAGGAGGAAGATAAAGATGAAGTGGAGTGGGATGCGTGGGAG